TGGTTTCTTGTAAGATTACATTATAGGGACATTTTATATGAGTCACCTATGAATGTGTATGGATTATGTGGAATTGGGAGGTGTAGTTTAAAATGAAAGTTTAGGCTTGCTACACTACACTAACTCTTCCTGGCCGTTATTAGATGTTACTTAATTGCATTCTGTGAAGGAGTAAGTAGAAATAAAGATCAGAGTGTTGGCAGTGGATGTGTTATTATTATTTATATAGTGCCAACAAATCCCACAGTGTGTACATAGGGTGGACTAAGAAAAATGTAACTGTAACCAAACAAATTGGATGCACACTAACACTAACAAGAGGGGGGGGAGGGGGGTTGAAGGCCCAGCTTACATTCTAGAGGGAGGAGGGGTAAAGTGACAGAAAAGGTAATGGAAGGAGAGTGTTGAAGCCTAATTATTGGGACTTTGCATAAGGTTACATGTAGCTACACTAGGCTATTGGTTGAAAAAAGAACAACGTCAATCAAGTTTAACCCTGAAATCCATTATTTTATGCTGTTGATCCAAAAGAAGGCAAAAAAACATAATTGTAGACATTTCCAATTATGCTACAAGAAGGGGAAAAAATCCTTCTTTACTCTATAATGGCAATCAGATTTCACCATAGATCAACAACCTTCTTATATACATAGCAATTATATTTTTGATTATTCTGTTTATGCCAAAAAAAGCATCCAAGCCTTTATATACATATATAAGATTTTATATAAGATTTTTCAATAAAGTACAATTTTACTTCAAGACCGTGAGTGCTAGCCAATATTTACACTTTGTATATAATTTTTGGTTTGGCTATTTATTGCACCTGGCAATTATATTTGCAGAATACTGCTGTGTATACATCTGAGTGCAAGGACTGGACATTTTTGTATATATATATATATATATATATATATATATATATATGTACAAAAATTTCATTATATGTCATTATGTCATATATGTCATTAGTCTAATACTATCCTTACCTTTTTGTGTCATTTTACCCCACTCCCTCTAGCATGTAAGCTCATTGAGCAGGGCCCTCAACCCCTCTGTTCCTGTGTGTCCAACTTGTCTGGTTACAATTACATGTCTGTTCGTCCACCCATTGTAAAGCGCTGCGGAATTTGACGGCGCTCTGTAAATATCATAATAATAATAATAATATAATCTAGATTGTGGTAAGAGAAACTCTTTAGGTAGATAATTCCACATCTTTATTGTTCTTACTGTAAAAAACCCTTTCCTCTGCTGTAAGTGAAAATGCCTTTCTTCCAGTCTCAATGGGTGACCTCTTGTCTTCTGTATATTCCTGTAAATGAACAGGTTAGCACATAGAGGTTTTTACTGACCCTGTATATATTTGTGTAGAGCTATCATATCTAAAGAAATGGGATATGATAACAAATTTACTAAACTAAATTCCATATACCAACTTAGATTCTTCTTTCCAATCAAGGATTAAAGCGATGCTGTCACTGTCTGGGAACTTTGCCGAATTCGCGAAGACCCCTAATGGTGACTGTAGCGGATGGCACTGGGCTGTCCTGAAAATTTCATGTGTTCACTGCATTCGTGTAAACTGCTGGTTTTATATGTGTTTAAATAAAGTGTATTCGTCTGATTGTTTGGTAGAATCATTCGAATAAACTAAGGGAATTAAACTACCGAACAATCAGATCTCCCCTGTGTGAAGTGTGCCCCCAATAACCCGTTGCAACAATGTTGCGAACTGGTAATTAACAAGCTATACAGTAGGTCCTTTGTCTCGGGGTGGCCGCCATTCGGGAAACGAACACGTGGTGGCGGCCATTTTAAAACTCCCGAACAGCGGTGTTTTGCCGTCAAGTGTCTGGAACTCACCGCTGAGACCTCCCACTCCGTTCGATTCCAAACCACCGAACGGCCCCTCGTTCGCTAGACAGAAATAACCGAATGAGGGGATTCATGTGAATCCTACCTGATCTCTGTAGCCTTAGCCATTTGTGTAAATTATTCCCTTGTACTGGGACCGACCGCAGGGCCCCATCTTATGGAACCCAATTCGGCTGTTCTATCCAGCACGGTCGGTCTTTTTATTACCTCCATAAATTTCCCGAACCCCTGGTCCGATCTGGGTGATTTTTGGATATGTTGCTCACCCAGATCAGGGCTACCAGGGGATGTGCCATTTAAAAGGGTACCCATAGGTTTAGGGGTATATCCAGAAACTGGGAGAATTTGGGTACAGTATAAGGGGATTATGATGCAGGCTGAGGGGAGGAGATGTGTGGGAGGTTACTATTGTCAGATTGGGCACTGTACTAATTGATGAAAATCCCTCCCTTGCATGGGAGCATGCTATAAAAGGCACTGTGGAATAAAGGTTGTCAGTTCTGTTCCTGATGCTGTGTGTCGTCCAGTCATTGGGATTGCTGTGGGGATACTATTGGATTATTTTGCCTGCTGGAAACCTTGCCTGTGGATTTATAATTTACTTGTTCCTGAGCCTCACTGGGATCATAAGCGGAGATAACCTGGGGAATATTGTATCTCCGCTACAGTGACTTTGCCGCTGGGGGTCGGTGGTTGTTGGAAGCAAGAAAATGTGAGATTTACATACCTGAACATGTCCATCGTGGGAGCTGTCATCTTGTTCCGGCATGGCCTCTTCAGCTCCGACATCACTGCTGAACTCTCACGCATGCACTTAAGTACATCATTAAAGGTCTAAGGAGGATCTTGGGAGACACTCCATAGACAGAGCCAATACCCTGCAGCCGTCACTGGTGATGGGTGTCGAGATTGACTCTGTAGCTCTGCTCAGAATCTAAGAAAGTCGGGTGGAGGAAATATACATAGACAAAGTAGTCCCTATTTTGAATTACCGTATTTTTCGCTCCATAAGACGCACTTTTTTTCCCCTCAAAAGTGAGGGGAAATGTCTGTGCGTCTTATGGAGCGAATGTGAAGAATTACTTACCTGTCTTGGAGCGTGGGCCGGCTTCACAGCGCGCTCCGCGTCCAGGAACTTCTATTTCAGGTTCCGGTTTCCGGCGGGACTGAAAGGAAGTGTGACACACTGAAGTGAGACTATGGGACAAGGGGAGGGGGGAGACACTATGGGACAAGGGGAGGGGGGGAGACACTATGGGACAAGGGGAGGGGGACACTATGGGAGAAAGGGAGGGGAGACACTATGGGAGAAGGGGAGGGGGGACACTATGGGAGAAAGGGAGGGGAGACACTATGGGACAAGGGGAGGGGGGAGACACTATGGGACAAGGGGAGGGGGGACACTATGGGACACAAGGGGACAATGGGGGGAGGGGGGACACTATGGGACTATGGGACAAGGGGGGGGGGACACTATGGGAGGGAAAGTGCACTATGGGACAATGGGAGGGGGGGACACTATGGGATCAGAACACTAATGGACAAGGGGAGGAGGGGTTAAAGAACACTATGGGACAGGGTAGGAGGGGTTAACAATCACTATGGGACAGGGTAGGAGGGGTTAACAATCACTATGGGACAGAGGAAAGGGGGGTTAAAGATCATTATGGGACAGGGGAGAAAAAAAAATATTCTGAACAAACTGTCCCATGGTAAGAAACACTTTGGAACAGTTTGTTCAGAATATTTTTTTTTCTGGGTTTCCTCCTCTAAAAACTAGGTGCGTCTTATGGTGAGGTGCGTCTTATGGAGCGAAAAATACGGTACATCTGTGGGGATGTACAGAGCCTGGCATGAGTACTACTCTCATCTTAAATTATATACTTTTAGAGACAGACAGGTCTTTCTCTGTAGGGGGAGGTAGGAAAGGTGGGCTGGGAGACAAAAAAATTAATTAAAAGTTATGTTTTTAATTATGTAATTACTTATATTTTATGGTTTTATTGAGGAAATCAACAAATAAAATGCTGCTTGTTCAAACCAACTGTAGACTGCAAGATCTTTGATGGCATTCTCTAATAACTTGCTATATGATTTGCAGGTGAATGTAATGTTGATATTCTTAATAAAATATGAATAAAAAAACAAACAACAACAAAAAAAACAACAAATTAAATATGCAAGCTACCACCACTAGCGGTTCATTCTTCCACAGTCAGTCAGGATGTTGTTTCCACAAAGGTTCTGTTGATTGGCCTGAGAGTTAGTGTGAGCATTTAAAATCCAGTATTTGTCATTCAAAAAGTCATGGGGTAGAGTCACGTCCTGTCCCAAAATCTAGCGCACTGCCATTTTTAAACTTCACTAGTTGCCACTGACATTGAAGTGAGATCATCTTTGGTAGACATATCAACTATTAGTCAATATATTAGGATATTAGTCAATGATAGCTTTCTGCTTCCAGTCAGTCTGCAGACAAAACTATCCATTTCACGTCAGTTCTGTTTACTGGTTTTTGTCGAAAACATCACCTGAATGTCTCAGGTACTTGTACAAAATGCAGGGGTTTGTACTATTGAGGATGGCACACCATCAAGCAAGTGATCCCTTAACTGCAGGGATGTAGATGGGGCATTCTTTATGACGTGAATGAAGATATGCATGTGTTGGAAAATAACTAATGATCAATAATGAAGTGGTCAGTAATGCAGTCACTCTAAGCAAAGCTGTCAGGAGTTGCACTGAAAGCTGGAGGCTTGATAGTGACAATTTCAGTGGAGAACACTATCCTAAAACCAGGGTTATTGGGAAGTATAGTGTTTAGCTAGTACGGCCTATAATTTCCAATTCCCATTGTTCTCAATTCCCAGTTTATAAAAAAAACTATCTATTCGTCAAGCACCCAGACTAAGCAGATATTGATTTGCCAATTACTAGGTTTTTTTACAATAACGAATTGTATATTGAGGTACATTAGGGTGGGGGTGGGATTATAATCCCTTTATTATTCTATATATTTCCAACAAGTAGATTACAGTACACACTGCCATCTAGTGGCCGGAATACCCCCTATTTTGTCACTGTGCGTTCCACGACTCGTTTTCCTACGTACAGAGCGGAAGTGCGTCATCAGTGTATTCCGGAACATTTTGGAACGCACAGGCAGTCTAGTGTTCTATGTGTGTGTTCTACGATGGATTGGTGTAATCGTCTCTTGTTATCAAGTGCTGGCTTCTGTCTCTTTTTAAGTGTGTTGGCTCAAGGTGAGGAGAATATGAGGGAGACAGAGTCTCATAGTATCTTATATTGTCTATAAACCATCATCAGATTTAGGCACAGAAAACACAGCAGGTTAGGCTAGTAAGCACTTTTTACATCAAGTTTATTGTAGGCCAGCAGAATGGTCACTGGCTAGCTGAGCTTTTCAGCTAAGTAATAAAACGCATTTGAATGTTGTTAAAGATATTGGTGAATGAATATACAAGTACCACAGTGTTCTGATGGCTATTTGTTTTAGAGGGGGTGTTTGACACAACAACAGTTAATAACACCAGTTCAACAAATAAATGGGAACCCACAACACTGCAGTCAGTTAGAAAATGTACTTGCTTCAGTTTAATTTATCAACATTATATTTGGGTAATGGTAAAGTATTTGGTGAAGTTTTGTAGATTAACAGGTGCTTAAATTCAGGCACCAATAACCTTCTGTCAAGGAAAGTTGCCTCTATATCGTGTTTTATAAAACAATTTAACATCAGAAACGTAGAGAACAGCATGCATTTTTTATTTTGTAAAACAACAATGGTTTGTTCATTTGAAATTGTGCATTTTCAGTAATTCGTACAGACAAAAAATGAAATGTAACAAATGTTCTCATAATTGCTCAAGCCAAACTATAGTAAATGTAATAGCTTGCAAGTCTAACTTAAACAATATACAAACAAAATGACAAATTAAAAAGCAATAATACTTAACTTATAAAGATGTGTAACAGCCTCCCTAGGTCGCTACCCAAACCCCAAACGAGCAACCTGTATCATGCATAATATAAACCAAAAAAGAAGATTCGGGATATGGCTGTGTAAATCTACAGAAGGAATATAAAACAGAACATAGTGTGATATTGTTAAAGATACAATATTATATGCGCAACAATATGTGAGTGCAAAAGATTGTTGCGCATATAATATTGTATCTTTAACAATATCACACTATGTTCTGTTTTATATTCCTTCTGTAGATTTACACAGCCATATCCCGAATCTTCTTTTTTGGTTTATATAGTAAATGTAAGTTTGCCAAATATATTTATTCACAATCTTGTTTGGTACATGGATTTGCTTTCCTGGAGATTTAGATGCAAATATACAAAGGAAGATCATTTTGATTGTGCAACTCCTGCAATATATGCATTTCTAGTCAGCCATCTCCATTTATTCCTTAACATAATATTGTAATATATTTTGTTAGGAAAACATGGTGAATGTGGCCAAATTAAATGAATGAAAGAAGGGTGTATTTAGTTATATGCATAGTTTACCCTTGAGTTCCATATGGTGTCATATATCAAAAGCATTTTCTTTTGTGTTCAATCTCTTAGTATTTTACTATAAATGTGTATGTTAGAAGACTTCTTCTAAAACATATATGTATTGGTAAATTAGTTTATTTGACCTAGCAACTAATTTGTGTTTTAAATAAAAAAAGTATATATTGGACTCTAAATCGTTTTGTTTTTTTATTGTCTTAATTTATCCAGGTCAAGATATTGAGGATATCCCACAAAAGGATGACAAACCAATCAATCATCTGAACCCAAATACTCAAATGCCTAAAAATACTGAAGACATTTATGTCCCAGAAATTGTTCAGTACAAGACTGCGGAGATTGCAGATGCAATGCAGAGTTCGGACATTTTAACTAATCCTTCTGTACTGTTCTCCACGGTACCAAAAATGATGAAGGATAGACATATTTCAGAAGCAGTTTGTGAAAAAACAATAGATAGTAAAGATTGCAATACCCATCAAAGTCTGATAGATGCGGCACATGATTTTGCTGATACTCATAATAAAGCAAGCATTCATAGTGCTGAATCAGATGCAGAGACATTAAAGACAGATGAATCCAATATCACAGACAGCAGCAAGCCTTTGAAAGTTGTATGTGAGGAGCGTAACATTACTGGTCTTGAGAATTTTACACTCCAGATACTCAATGTTTCACAGGTTTGACATATATCTCATTATTATCTCTGTATTTAGGATATCATCTGAGAATAGATAAAATGTTTATAAAATGTTTTTGAAATTTTTTCAAAGATATTCTAAATGTAAGAAGTTACAAAGATATTAAGAAGATCCCTCCAACTCATGGTGTCTTGTCATTGCACATCACCCCTTGTCATAATTGGCAAAGCACGTAGGCCATTAAGGGGAAACCATAGGAAAACAATGAATGTATGGGGATTTTCAAGAAGCTGGACGTCCAGCGTCCTTTTACAGAGTTAAAATCTGGAAGACCGCATTTAGAGGCAGTCTTAACCTTGCAATTTAAACTGCAGTGTTTTACATTGCAAAGTTAAGGGGACATGGACACTCAGACCACTTCAATGACTGGGTATCCTTTTACATAGTTATATAGTTGAAAAGAGCCATTCATTCATCAACTTCTGCCTTTCTCACATTTTTTTCTGTTGATCCAAAGAAGGCATAAATCCCATTTTGAAGCACTTGTAATTTTGCAACAAACTAGGGAAAAATATATTATTGAAACCAGCATGGAATGGCTGTCAGATCTCGCCTTGGATCAAGATCTTTTGTTGTTCTGTTTTGCCTTTCCTAAAAAGGGAAAGGGAGTCCTTACTTTTCTTTCTGTAGAAGAGAAAAAAGCAAACAGATTTGAGGGGTGGGAAACAAGGCTGTTTGCAGGATTATTCCCTAAACAGAAAATTATTGCAAATTGATCAAATGGAAAATGTTAGACTAAAACAGCTGAGCTGGGACTATAGCTGCATTTGATAATAATCACAGTTTTTGTTAATTTCTGACAATATCTGGTACAGTAAGTAACTCAAAATAAATGAAAGGGAGACAAAGAAAACAATGTCAGTATGCATGCAGAGGGAGGGTGTGTTTTCAAACTACAATGCAGACAGTGGTAGACTTGGCAATAAAGCCACCCAAGCCTAATCTAACATAACCTTTATGTGTATACAACACATAATATGTTAGAAATTTAGAAGAAGTGGGGATAATTATTATTAAAAGTGTGACATACAAGATCTGATCTTGTGGCATTGTAAGGTAGAGTGTAGGGTTTAAATATGAAGGTAGAGAATATCAGTTTGAGGTAATAAACGTACAGTGTCCAGGTTATGTCACATGAACAACTTATTTTTGCTAAGATAGCAAACCATTGTGGTGAAAATAAAAACCTCTCATATTTGTACTATTTGTCCGTGTTGTATACCTGGAAACTATCACAGTAATTACAGTTTCCTTGAGGTCCCTAAAGGAAACTTTAAGCACCAAAACAATTTTAGCTTAATGAACTAGTTTTGCTGTATATATCATGCACTTGAATTCACTTTGTTTATGCTGCCTTCACCACACTATACATGGCAGTTACTCACATGTCTCCCTATATACTTCCTGAAAAAGAGGCTGCTATTATTATTATTTTTTTAAGATTCCCTTATTGTACTCTGTGTTTAGTTTAGAATGTTTTCTCTTAAAATATGGGATAGGCATAAGGCTCTCCTAGACGTTAGATAAGGCCAGGGACTAATGAAATATTTTGGAAAATTGGGCAGACTAGATGGGCTGATGGGTTCTTATCTGCCGTCACATTCTATGTTTCTATGTCATTTTGCCAGTTCCTATAGGGAAAACTTAACTGTGCTCTGATTTGTCCAGGTTATATAACTAGTTCATATTCCTCTGTCCAGCAAAAGTGACATCAAGGTGATGGCCATGTGATTGGCAAGAGGTTAATGTAATATGAACTTTTTTACATCTGCCGACTGGATGTTTTCATATCTTACAGGACCTGATGGAGTTTTTGAATCCTAATAGCACAGAATGCACCCTGGTATTGTTCTATACCCCTTGGTGTCGTTTTTCTGCAGGACTGGCGCCGCACTTTAATTCCCTACCAAGAGCCTTTCCTATGCTACATTTTTTGGCACTTGATGCTACACAACACAGCAGGTATGTTTGTCTGTTTATTCACTAAACACTGAATTTACTAAAATATATTTGGCAAACTTATTTTGTTTTGTTCTATAGCATTTGGTTGATAAATTTATCCTAACGTTCACTGCACACAGCTGAATTTCAAAGAAAAATAAGATGCCAATAAGGTTGGAGTAGGGTTTTGAGGGAAAGCTTGTGTATGGAAGTCATTCAAGTTGTAAGGGAAAACCCATGTTATTATTCACAATAAAATATTCAATGATGTAGCTTCTGGGTAGTATTTGGAAATGCATACATGTACGTATATGCAGTAACAAGATGAATGATACATTTACTTTGCTATATTTCTAGTCTACAAAAGGCAGAAACTTAGCGTTGGAGACCAGTTAGAGAAAATCTGTGGTCAGAACAGGCAGGGTCTCCTGCTTGATCCAGTGTACAAGCAGCTGACATTCCTTGTTGCCAAAATGTTGTGAAAACTAACATTGCTAGTTCAGAAGTGGAACATCGGCCTTAATAATCCTGTGAAAGAGAGGCTTGACTGTGGGTGCTGAAAAACAGTTTGACACATAACTGGGGGAAGACACATTCAGAAGAGGCTATATGGTGCTCCTTTAATCATAGGTAGGGTTAGCGGAAAAAAAAAATCAAAGAGTAGAGATCCCTTACAACTGAAAATTATGTGGCATAACATTTTGTGAAATATTCCTCAGTGTGATTCTTATGCCTTCTTTAGCAAATATTGTGTTACTGTGATCATAATTTCTTGTGTTTATTTATGTATTTTTTTTTTCTTCTCTTCAGCCTCTCTACTCGATTTGGTACTGTAGCAGTTCCTAATATCCTATTGTTTCAAGGTGCCAAGCCTATGGCCAGATTTAATCACAGTGAAAGGACTCTAGAGACTCTAAAATCATTTATATTTAACCAGTCAGGTATGGGATATTTTCTCATTATTACATAAAACATGTAACTCATTCTAGTGTTGATTGTATTAATACTTGTTTACATTTCAGCTATCATAATTTCAAATTTAATTCAATAGCAACCAAATCACTCCTTTTTCTTTTTTTTTCATGGATTCCTACATTTGTATGGGCAGAAAGCATCCACAAAGCCAGGCTCATGGGACTTCTTCATTGAAAGGGATATTTTTTTTATTTTATCTGATCTTTTCTTTGATCTGTCTATCTCCATAAATAGCTATATAACTTTATTAGTAGATGTTGTAAGAAGACACACATTATAGAAGAACTATTTTATCCTCCGGGCTAAAGACAAAGCCCAATTTGATCAAACGAACTCCAATAGCATGCAGGGAGACTTGTATGTTTTTTTTTTTTTTCGAACCTGTCTCCTTTCCATAAGTGGAATACTCTGTGACTCCACAAATTATGTCTGCTACTAATTTAGGCCACAGCTTATGAGGAGACACTGGCTTCAATAGATGCTTGGTTCTCCCCATGAGCAAATGGATTTAGCCCCTGTTTATGCTTAAAGGGGCACTATATGCACCCAGACCACTTCATCTCATTGAAGTGGTCTGGGTGCATATTCCCAGGTCTCTTAACGCTGGACAGGTAATTATTGCAGTTTTTACTTGTATGGGTTAACTCCACCTCTAGTGGCTGTCTACCACTTTTGGTTGCCTAACTGACGCTGGACGTCCTCACACTATGAGGACATCCAGCATCTCCCAATACCCCATAGGAAAGCATTGTATAATGCTTTCTTATGGGGCTCTTCTAATGCAAGCTTGGTTGTTGCCGCTCATGTGCATTAGGTCTACCCCACCAGCTGATGGAGGCGCGGGCGGAGGGGAGGGGAAGTGTAGGCAGACTCCAAGCCGACATCGGTGCTGGAACAAGTGTCTTTTAAGGGTCTTTTAACTCATGGGGGTGGGCACTATAGGGTGCAATGGTGCCAGGAAAACAACTTTGCTTTTCTGGCACTTTAGTTTCCCTTTAAAGATAGCGCATAGAAATCCAAGATAAAGGGTTACCTTACCTTTGTAATCACCTAATTGTATGTCAGATGGTGTAAGGTATTACAAAATAAAAAAAATTAAGATGTACTGTTCTTTTGAATATAACTAAAATGTAAGGTAGAGGTGCAAAGTACACAGTACACAGAGCATTTTACTGTGAAGTATCATGACATTTGTATCACATTCAGAATCAAGAGACATTGAATTTGGAATCACTAGTTCCTTAAGCTATGCAGATCTATGTAAATGTTATATGCCATCTCCAAGAGTTTATGGTTGCCGCAGGTCGAGACATTAAAAGTGCCTAATATAAGGATTGTAGCTGTGATAAAGGTGATGTGCTACTTCAGGTACTCATATAAAATTCACTGTCCACATAGTCATAGAGCAGTACATAATTACTATGTGTACTTAAATTGCATTTCTTTCAATAAGCTCAACATTATTTCTATTTTATTATTCTATTGTGCTCCTAGCCCACTCAATGTTAATGAAAGTGAAGTCTAATAAGGCCTGTATCTATTATATTTCATATACTTTAAATCATAACAGAGCTTAATAAACAATTTAGATTGTATATCAATTAGTCTTTCTATGACGTGGTTTCATTGGCTATCTGCTTCCTCTCCCCAGGAATTCAGGCTAAAACTGATGTGGCACTTACAGAAGCAGATTATGAAGGCCCCTTGCCCAGTGTTCCACTTGGGGGAATAGACTGGCTGCTAGCCTTCTCATTGCTGTATGTGACAGTCTTCATATTATATGCAACAATGCAGACTGAAAGTATTCGATGGCTTATACCTGGCCAGGAGCATGAACACCAGGAGTAAACTGACTTTTTTTTCAATCATCTGGACGCTGAAATTCGAATTTGTTTTCCTAAGGAAAGTACACTAGTTTGTGTGTATGGATGTTTCCTCTTGCAGTTTTGAATTGATGTATATTGTACATAAAATAGACTGATTGGTTTGGACTCCGAAATATAATGTTATTGATTTATACATACATAGTTTTTTTTTTGTCTGAATGTTTCCAATTTTGCTACTAAAAATAGAGCCAATTTATACACTTCATGTTTTCCTTTACCATTCTGTTAATCTTTAAAGCGGCACTGTAACCATCTGGGGACTTCACCCACCACTGGTGGTACGGTGTCTGGAGGTGGGGGAGAAGGTGAGATTTACTTACCTGACCCTGTCCCTTGTGGGTGCTGCCATTTTATTTTCTAGACGGTCCTCTTCTGCTCCTGACGCTTCAGCATTAAGGTCTATGGAGGATCTGGCTAATATATCTGCAGCCATCACTGGTGACTTTTGAGTGGGGTGTTGGGGGAAGGAGAGTGCTGCTTTAAATGAAAAGCTTTAAAAACCTTTTCTTGGGGGGGAAAAAATTACTTGAAATTGCTATTATTTTGTTCTATTTATCTCTCTTTTGAATATAACTAAAATGTAAGGTAGAAGTGCAAAGTACACTCACTTTGCTATGTTCTTTCCTAAAAAGGAAGCATAGGAAATACACAAGTGAACACTCACCACTTAAGCACAGAGGCTTCTCAATGAGAAGTCTCTGATTGTTGTATTTGCCATGTGTGTGGGAGTATATCTACTAAACTGATACATTTTCAATCTAGTGTTCCTTTAATTGTTTCCTGGGCTACATGAGCAGTGAGACTCAAGCTCAAAATTAAAGGAACACTATAGTGTTAGCCCCACAGTGCTTTTGTATTTCTACCGTGCATCCTAGAGATGCATGGAATTTGTACATCTCTATGGGGACCTCTCAACGCTTCCATGCCGAGCATGGAGACACTGGACGTGAGTACTGCACATTGTGCAGCACTGACCCAGGAAGCACCTGCTACTAGAGGTGTTACTAGGCAGTAATGTAAACACAGCATTTTCTCTGAAAAGCCTTTAGGGACATTCTATACACACACCAGATTAACTACAGTCAGCTGTTCTTCTGGTGAGTATAGTGTCCCATTATCTTAGTAAATGAGCAGTGGAATAAAACCTGATTTTGACAGAAAAAGAGTGAGTCCAAATCTGAGATGTGAACAGATTGTAAATGCAGTTAAAAGTGTGGATGGTTGCTAAATTTCAAATATTTAAAGGAGGGAGAGGCAGAATAGGGATTATGGGTTTGTCATTAACGTGTAAAGGAAAGTGGAAATAACTTTGAAATAAGTCACACAAGTATCTTTTGTTTAGTGGCTTTTAATTTTGTGCAGAATTATGACAGATTAAACATGAATTTCCTTTTAAAGTGCACTCATACTCAAAATGGGCTAAATGAACCCAGATATGTTTAATAATTAAGTTATAGGGTGGAAGCCTGAGATTGTACATCGAAATATGATTTTTCTTTACAAGAATGCTGCCATGATAATGTGTATTTAAATATTGAGTTGCAAAGAGCACTGTATTTTTTTGACAAAAATAGTTTGTCCTATCTTGTACTTACTTGCTAACAAATGGTGTAACTTTATTCATCCATATTTAAAACTAGAGTTTCATTTAATTTTGCCTTGTGGCTGCTGTGTTTTTTATACCTGTCACAGATATGGAAACTGTGTAACCTATTTTCACCTAAGTGTATTATATGTGTAACATCCTTTTAACTAACTTAAATTTTTATGGTAAAATAAGATGAGAGAGAGACAGAGTGTATGTGTATATGTGTGTGTGTATGTATATATATATATATATATATATATATATATATATATATATATATATATATATATATATATATATATATATATATATATATGTGTGTGTGTGTGTATGAAAGTGTAGGTACACTAAAAACTGAAACGGGGGTGTTAGTTAATGAAGACCAGGAAAAGGCAGGAATTTTAAATAACTATTTAGGAAGAACCCATGGCAATAGATGTGCAAATGATTGCTACTAAAAACTTGCAGAATAATTGTAATTGGTTAACTCAAGACAAGGTGCTGCAGCAACCAAAGAAAGTTAATATAAACAAAGCTCCAGGGCCTGACGGTATCCATCCACGTGTACTTAAGGAACTAAGTGCAGAAATAAGTGAACCTCTGTTTTTAATCTTTCAAGATTCTTTTCTTTCAGGAAGTGTTCCGGAGGATTTGAGGAAGGCAGATGTGGTTCCTATATTCAAAAAGGGTTCAAAATCCTTGCCTGGAAATTATAGACCTGTGAGCTTAACTTCTGTGGCTGGTAAAATATTTGAAAGGTTATTAAGTGATAATATTCAAGAATTCCTTGAGAAGAACATGGTTATCAGCAAAAATCAGCATGGTTTTATGAAGCACAGGTCATGTCAAACTAACTTGATTGCATTCTACGAAGAAGTAAGTAGAAGTATAGATCAGGGTGTTGCCGTGGATGTGATCTATTTGGATTTTGCCAAGGCATTGGATACAGTTCCACACAATAGATTAGTGTTCAAACTCAAGGAAATCGGTCTAGATGAAAATGCTTGTTCTTGGGTAGAACATTGGCTTAAAAACAGAGTACAAAGAGTTGTCATTAATGGTAAATTTTCAAGCTGGACAGAGGTGGCAAGTGGTGTCCCTCAGGGGTCTGTTCTGGGACCCCTTCTATTTAACATGTTTATAAATGATCTTGAAGACTGCATTGAAAGTCATGTTTCAGTGTTTGCAGATGACACCTGTTGTGGAAATAAGGTCTACACATATTTCCTAGTTAGTGAAAAATGTCTATTTACTCATTTCACGATATATATATATATATAGCTAAGCACACACGTTATAATCAAGATGGCTGCTGGAAGCTTCTAGCTCCTTCCCCCTCCCCCTTCCTTTCTTCCTCCTAACATCGACTAACTACCTCGTGCACCAAGATGGCGCCGGGAAACCGTGGGAGACTCTTATGGCCCCGGTGACATCACCTACAGTAGGCAGAGCATTGAAGCAACCACTTAACACCTAACCAATTATTGATGTATTATTCCATGTTATCTCTGACAATGCTTATGATGTAATTTTGCTTTAAAAGGGACTTGCCGTCCACTCTGAATAACTTTTCCTCAAGTTATTCAACAACCTAGAACCTGTGTCTGGTGTGAATTACTTCAGGGAGCGTGCACGCATTGTTTCATTGATTTGGCCAGGGGCAGATACACAAAGAAATAATCAATACTTTAATTGATTTTTCCACTTCAATTGGCGCCCAACGTGGGGCCCACCGGAGAGCCGGTTCGGAGGGCCGGAACCAACGGACCGGAGCGGACCTCCGGAAAGTGGGACAAGCGGAGCCTGATCACCTCCATAATACAGCCGTTGCCTGTGTTATTCTCCTGTTTTGTGCCGGTCTGTCTCCGAGTCCACTTCCGGCTTCCAGAAGGCTACTAGAGACAGGTAATTAACTCATCCGGTGCGCCCTTTTTAAGTGAACCTGTCGATTGTCTATCTGCCTCCTGTATTCATTTATGTGTGTGTGTTTATTATACCTTTAAGATATGTTTGCTTGACTGCCTAGCGGGCAGGGAACGCATTTTATATGTTTGCTTGACTGCCTAGCGGGCAGGGAACGCATTTTATATGTTTGCTTGACTGCCTAGCGGGCAGGGAACGCATTTTATATGTTTGCTTGACTGCCTAGCGGGCAGGGAACGCATTTTATATGTTTGCTTGACTGCCTAGCGGGCAGGGAACGCATTTCAGCCGGTGGGGCTGGGTTTTTATGTTAGCTTGACTGCCTAGCGGGCAGGGAACGCATTGCAGCCGGTGGGGCTGGGATTTTTGTTTGATTATTGCAGTATTTCCTTTGGTACCAGTGTTTTGCCGGGACCAGCCTGGTGGGTGAAGGCTGGGGATTGTTATACCCTGAATATCTGACACCGGTGGTGTTAACATGTACATGGCTATTTTGCTCTCTATCATTCTGTGGTTTCTGTTTAATTGTTGTTACAGTGTGGGTACCCTTGGTGTGTGTGTGTGTATTGTGTGGTTAGTTCTGGATTCCGGAGTTTACGCTCATTTGTATGTTTGTGATTTTTGCAAATGTCTTCTCATTAGCGCAGCCACGTTCATTTTCTCCTTTGTTCTTTATCTTTCCTGTGCCTGTTGCCCAGAGCTGTGTTAGTCACCCACGCTCATTCGCTCCCGTCCGTGACCACCACCCCGGGTGGGCGGATCTCCGTGACTGGTCTACGTTTGGGGAAGACGCACGGGGCTCAAGTTCTCGTGGCAGTCGAGCACTGTAGACATTCTTTTTTCCCTTATACTTTCTCTACTTCTTTGTCTTTCACGTGTGGCACGCTTTGGTTACTCAAAAATGGGACAGGAACACGCTAGACCTGCTAAGGGCTTGCTAGCTTGTGACATTGTGAAAGAAAGGGCAGGGGAAGATGCAATGTTGAAACTTAAAAAGATTGCTAAGGTGTGTGGCTTCCAGATGTTGCCTAGTGGGAGATTGCAGCCTGAGTTTTGGAGAAAGCTACTCATAGACAAGGAAGGGTTGTTGTTGGATAATGGACTTACGAAGGTTGCAGAGGCTTGGTATCGGGTAGCTAGAGGTTTGAAACGGGAAGGATGGGTCGAGGAAGAACTGGAGTTCGAGGGCCAAATTGTGTATGTTTATCATAGGAGTGTTCACAATGATGATGTTGTTTCTATTGTTCCACGACCACCGCCCTATGATGGCGCCCGGAGCGCAACACTTAATTCCCGCCCTGCTTCTCCCGTCACAGCACAAACCCCACCCTCCGGGGGTGTGCCTTCAGCTCCCACTCCCCTGTGCCCCGTACTTGGTGCGGATGGTGCTTACTATTATCCAGTCCCACTTCACTCATTCCCACCTACTCCCATGCCTCAACCCTCCTATGACCCAACCCCTTCCATCAGCCATCCTTCCATCATGCCTGCCGAAGCCCCTCCGCCTTCATGTCCTTCGCTACCTCTCCCAGTGACCGTCCCCACTTCGGACCCTGCCATGGCTTTCCCCACCTTACCCATTGAAGTCCCACCTTCCTCCTCCGCTTCCCTCTCAGCCCCGAGTACCCCTTCCCTAGTAACTCCCGTTCCCTCACCCTCTCCGTCCATTACACATCCAACTCCCCTGACCCATACCCTTTCCACTGGCCCTATTCCTCCGGATCTCTGTCTCCCCTCTGACCCAGGACCCCTCCCTCCCACGGCCGATTTGCCGTCCCTAATCTCTGCCCTCACCGCCCTGACCCAACCCCCTGTTACCACCTCTCCAACCCCTTCTCCAGTGTTACCTCCTCCTCCCGAAGTCCCAGCCCCCTCTACCTCGTTACCCCTACCTCCCACGGCCGATTTGCCGTCCCTAATCTCTGCCCTCACCGCCCTGATCCAACCCCCTGTTACCACCTCTCCAACCCCTTCTCCAGTGTTACCTCCTCCTCCCGAAGTCCCGGCCCCCTCTACCTCGTTGCCTACTCCTCCACTGATTGGTTTGCCGTCCCTTGCCTCCGCCCACGTTGCTCTGCCACAGCCCCTTGTTCCAATCCCTCCAACCCCTTCCCCGGAAACCCTTGACGCATCCATGACTAATGACCTGTCTACCTCGATATCCGCCCTTTTCACTGCTGTCACTTCCTTGGTTAACTCCGCGATCCCTGCACTGCCTCCCACTGATATACCTCCTCCTCCTCCCCCCGAACCTTCGACCCCTCCCTTGTCTCCCGCTAACCTCCCCGAGCCTTCCGATCCAATCTCTGCTCTGGCTCATGTCCTAAACACCCACCTCTCACGCCCAGCCCCGCCGGCCCCCATGATGTCCCCTTCCACGGCTTTAGTTCCCCGTGTCCCTTCCGCCAGCACTAGTTACCCAATCATGGTGGTTGGGTCCGAGGTGTCTGCGACTTCGGACCAGCCCTATGCGATGGTTGCCTCCCCCCAAGCCTCGGGCTTCCACCCTACTACCTCTCCTATTACCGCCCTCCCAGTTGCCCCCACTACAGCTACCCCTGAGGCTACTCTTCACCGTGGTCCGGTGGTGCCCGAGGAGGTCGTTGTGGTGGACCAGAGCTCACCCCACCTGGGGGGGGAAAGGCTTCCCCAACGGCACTCCATTCCCCAGGGGTATACTCAGATTAGTCATGGTGCGGATGGTGCACCACCTATGTATGTTACTTTTAACCCTTCCCAAGCCGCTACCCTTGTGACTTCACTCCCTGATCCTGAGAAACACCCCATGCCCTTTTTCCGCAGGATGGCTCAGATCCGTAAGACATATTCCGCTGCTTGGCGGGATCTTATTAGTTTATGTGAAATTAAGGCTGGAGATGCATACTGGCCAATCATGGAACGGAGCTTTAATGACGCTCCACTTACTTCTGATACTGATTTTCGTTCTGGTGAAATTTTCTGCGAACAACTTCGCGCCTGGGCGCAGGATAAACTGGCTGACCAGGCTACTTGCATTAATGACATAATACAGGACAAACTTGAGACTGTTGAAAAGTACCACTCTAGGTTGACTCAGACTTTCTCGGACTTAGGGTTCAGCACTTACAATAAGGCACACACCCAGATGCTATCTGCAGCTTTTGTGG